TTGAGTTTTCTCATTTGTAAAATGAAGGGATTTCACTAGATGACCCTGAGGTCCTGCCCTGTTCTGACTGTCAGGGCAGATGACTGGGTGGTCTACTTGGGCAGAGAGGGATAGGGTGATTGTTTTACCTTCCATGGACAGCTCCACCCAAGGGAAAAATCCCAGAACTAAGTGGATTAATTGGGGGGGGGGTACAAGGGAGAGTAGAGATGAGAAGTGATAAAGTCACTGCTTTACAAAATTAACACATCTGTTGCTAAATAGTACTATATAGTATTAAATAAGTACTATAAACAAGTTCAATTGTCCACAGCACTTGCCCATTATACTATGAAGCTCTAGTATCAGGTGGTTTGCACAACCAATTTTTCTTCTTTGTCTTGCTTTTTTTTTTTAATTTTGCAAAATGGCTAACATGAAAATGTTTTGCATGACTTCATACATATAATGGGTATTATATTTCTTGCTTTCTCAAAGGATGGGAGAGGGGTGGAGAGAATTTAGAATTGAAAATGAAAATAACTTTTAAAAATAGAACAAAATTGTCTGCTATTAAAAATATACACAATTATACAAAGCATACCTCATTGCACTGCCAATGCATTCCACTCTAGGCATCTACCTGGCTTGCCTACTCCCTAGTCCAGGTTCTGCATGAAGTTTATCTCTAATCTCAGTTGCACCATGAAGCTTTTCCCCAAGTGCTTCAGCCCTCACCAATTTCTCTCTTCTTCAAATTCCTTTTGCTTTATGCCAGCACTCTATAAGAAAAGTGGCCTTTTGGATGGCATATTCTAACTTGTTTGTTTGAATAGGCAGAAAACAAATTCAATTTTAGTTTAACAATCATTTAATTTTTTAATTGTATTGATATATTTTGTTTTCAGATCACCTTAATACAGCCTCAGACACCAACTAGCTATGTGACCCTGGGCAAGTCTCTTAACCCTGTTTGCCTCAGTTCCTCACCTGTCAAAAAATGAGCTGGAGAAGGAAATAGCAAACCATTCTAGTATCTTTGCCAAGAAAACCCCAAAATGGGATCCCAGAAGAGTTGGACACAACTGAAATGACCAAACAACAACAAATGCTTATGGGGGCAGCTAGGTGTTGAAGTGGATAGAGCATTGGGCTTGGAATCAAGAAGACTAATCTTCATGAGTTCAAATCCAGACCCAGACACTTATTAGCTATGTGACCTTGGGCAAGTCACTTAACTCTTTGCCTCAGTTTCCTCATCTGTCAAATGAGCTGGAGAAGGAAATAGCAAACCACTCCAGTATCTCTGCCAAGAAAACCCCAAATGGGGTCATAGAAAGTTGGACACAACCGAAAAATGACTTCACAAAATTTCTAAATATATCTACCCCCACTGAATCCTCTCGTAACAAAGAATAAAGGAGAGTGAAAAAATAGCAATTCAGCAAAAGTACCCTAATATTTGAATCTGACAGCATATTCAATATTCCTATAAGAACATCTCCCCTTTCTACCTCTGTAAAACAGGGAGAAAGATGCATTTTCTCATCTTCAAGAATAAGCTTGGTCATTAAAATTATGCAACTCAACATTTATTAAGTTCCTACCATATACACAGAATCGTGTAAAGTTGTATTGCAAAGGGCCTTCAATGCCTGGTGAAGGATACTCAACTTTGTAGGCAAGAGGAAATTACTGAAGATATCTGAGCAAAGGAATGACAGGACCAGACCTATTCAAGAGAAAGGTTATTCTGACAGTGTATGAAGGAGAATGGGGAGGAGATGCAAAAGAGGCTACTGAAATAACTTTTCTAATCATTGTATCCTAAACATCTCACTGGTAAATTATGCCAAATTGAGCTGACTTATCTCTGATTCTGGCCCTCATCCTGAAGAGACCACATCACCGAGCCCCAGGATCTCTTTTACCTCTTTTTTTTCCCTTTGTTCTCTTGCTGTAAGCATCATGATGAAGAATATGGTTGTCAAATACCTCCTGAATATAAACCTTTAGTTATCCATGGTAATGGAGTGCTCTCACAACCTCTAAGATATGCCCTAACAATTTGGCAATTTGAAAGTATTACAGAAAACAATTAGCATACCCACAAGTCATAAAAAGAGCAAAAGAAAGAAAATATTTTGAAATCAGCAACAGAACCAAAATTAAGATTCCTGGAAATATATGGATTCAATACATTGATTTTGGCACCATCTATGCAACGTACCTAAAATGAAATTCATGAAAACAAACCAAATGCAACTCTAGAAAAATGCATGCACTTGCTTTTGGATGAAACCAAAAGCAATAAACCATGCCCCTCATTTCAGTCTATTCTTTAATCTACAAAGGGAAATCATTAATAAAATCTTAGAAATTTTTTTTTTTGCACAGGCCACTGGGGTAAATCAACAACCAGCATCAACACAAGCTATCTGCACCATCTCATTCTCAAGCTATGCCTGACTTTATGCTGTCTTCCTTCACTTCCTCATGAAAAGACAAATAAAAACCCAAATCTTAGAGACTTAGATGATTTGGACTTTCCTCTTGTACTTTTTTTTTCTTCAAAATCCCTAGATTATACAGCAGCTTCACAGAGAGACTGAGTCTCTAGACAGAACATGGTAAAGTAAATGCACCCATTTTCTTTTCACTTTTTAACATTTCTTTCTGACTTATCCTATGGAAAATCCAAACGATCCAGGGCACTACTTTGTTTTGTTTTAATTTGCATTTTTTTAAATAAATAAGCTTTTTCTGTATTCACCTAAGGAGAAGGAACATTTGATCTACTATAAAATCAGTAAAGAAAACCTCCATCTAACAAAAACCTGTTTAGAATCTCTAAATACCTAAGGCAAATGATTACTCCTTTAAGAAAAGGAACCTTCTCACAAAGGTAAAAAGAACAGGCAACAATCTCTATTTACTAAGGTTTTCACTCTGCAGGAATCTTGGAAACATGTCCTAATTCGGGGCAGCTACGTGGTGCAGTGGACAGAGATCTGGCTCTGGAGTCAGGAGGACCTGAGTTCAAATATGACCTTAGACACTTACTCACTGTGTGACTCTGGGCAAATCAGTTAACCCTGATTGTCTCAAAAAAAAAAAGACAAGAAATCTGTCTTAATTCAATCAACACTAGTGGGTTTTTATTTTTAAAAATACTTAAATTCTATCTTGTTCCCCACACCAAGAAAAGTGCTTATAAGTTGCTTAGCAGAGCATTTTTACTATACTACTACTACTGCTCTCCCAACAAAATAAAAAAGCCAAAAAAACCGTTCCAACATCCTATCTCTCAAACATCTTATTATCCTTTTCTGCACAACTCTGGTCTGCAAGCATGCTCCCATAATGGGCTCATTATACATAGGCATTATATATATATATTACAATGTATAATTTACATTGCTTGTGCAATGACAGCTTTTTTTTTCCCCCTTCATAGCTAGTACCTTCCCAATCCTTAAATCTGTTTCAGTGAGTGCTTCTCGACAACTAAAGACAGGGAAGATAATACTAGTCTTGGCCTGCCCCAGCCTCCTAGATATGTATGTATGTATGTATGTATGTATGTATGTATGTGTGTATGTATGTATGTATGTGTGTGTGTGTGTGTGTGTGTGTATGTGTGTGAGAGTGTATACTAGGGGTCTTCTAAGTGTCTGTTCGGGGCAACTAGGTGATACAATGGATAGAGGAAGAAGAACTGAGTTCAAACCTAGCCTCAGACATGGTGTCTGGGCAAGTCACTTAACCCTGTTTGCCTCAGTTTCCTCATCTGTCAAATGAGCTGGAGAAGGAAATGGCAAATCACTCCAGTATCTTTGTCAGGAAAACCCCAAATGGGGTCATGAAGAGACAGGCACAACTGAAAAGTGACTGAACAACAACAGAGTGTCTGCTTAAGAACTAAGAGCTGCCCGAGAACTAAGGACAGAGAAGATACTAGCCTTGCTCTGCCCCAACCTCCTATACCTCTACACATATGAATACATCCACACATGTATAAGTATACATATATAGATGCATATATGATGTGTATTTAGTGTAGATGTACATGTGTATATATAAATATATAAAATGAGTCTTCTGAGTGTCAAGCCCTGCCCTGCTCCAACCTCCTATACATATGTGTATTTATAATGTAGATGTACACATATTTGTGTATATACACACACATATACATATAATGAGTCTTCCAAGTGTCAAGTCTTGCCCCAATCTCTTATACATATGCACATATGATGTGTTTTTATCATGGGTGCTGTGTTCTGATTAGTGCATAAATTGGTGTAGACAGACATATATGTATATATAAATATATATGTAATATATAAAATGAGTCTTCTAAATGTCAGGTCTTGCCTTGCCCTGCCCCAACCTCCTATACATATACATATATGATGTGTATTTATAATCTAGATAGACATATATAAATACATATGTCTTCTAAGTGTCAAGCCTTGCCCTGCCCCAACCTCCTATACATATATATGATGTGTATTTATAATCTAGATAGACATGTGTGTACATAAATACATATAAAATGAATCTTGTGTCAAGCCTTGCCTTGCTCTGCCCCAACCTCCTATATACATATAGGATGTGTATTTATAATGTAGATAGACATGTGAGTGTGCGTGTGTGTGTATGTGTGTGTGTGTGTGTATGTATGTATATAAAATTAGCCTTCTAGGTGTCAAGCCTTGCCCTGCCCCAACCTCCCTTCCAAAGCCCAGACCACTTAAGAGATCATTAGCAATCCTGACAAAAGAGTTAGCTACATAAACTCCCAAGGAAAGAGGAGGAGGGTGGGTGGACCGGGGGTGCTCGTACATGCCGAGGGAGGGTCGCGGGATCCCGATCGCGTCTCCAGGCTCGCCCACCTGCAGCCTCCCAAACCAATGGATTCTCCCCGAACCTCCCCGCGGCATCCAGGCAAACGAAGCCAGAGCCCATTCCCACGCAGACTCTCCCCCAGCCTCCGCGCCCTTCCACCCACTCCTTACTTGCAGCGGAAAAGTGGCCGCTCGGTTGCCCACGTAGCCTCGGACGACGTGACTCTGGATGGACAGGACCCTGCACTCTTCCTCCATGCTGGTCCGCTCCGCCGGGCAGCAGCAAACCCGAGGCTTAAGGTCGGCTGAATGAGGAGGGAGGAGAAAGAGACAGAGCGTCAGGAGCAAGAGCGCGGGCAGCCCACCCGGACAGAGCCCCGGCAGGCTTGGACGCGGACCGGTCCAGGCTACTGGACAGAGGCGAGCTCCGCCAGGTTAAGACCGCGCCGACCAGCGATCTAGCAATGAGCGCAGCAGCTGTAACCGAGGCAGAAGAGGCGGGGTCCTGGCGGGCGGGGGGGCGGGGAAATAGGGGGCGGAGCGCACAGACCGGAAGTAAGGAGCCGAGGCCAAGCCGGGAGCCGCTGTGAGCGCGAGGCGGGCAGGCGTGGGCTGGGGGTGTCGCTGGCGGGCGTGACGTAGGCCGGAGCCAAGGTCAAAGGGTCGCCGGCGGCTCCCGCTTCTCCGGTTGGCCGTGGCACGCTCGGTGGGCCTCTCTCCGAGCCCGGCTCAGGCGATCCGCGCAGACACCTAAGTCTCGGTTTCACACCATTCACTCTGAGCCAGCTTCTGGACGTTTGGGACCCGGCGGGGAGGGCTCGGGCCCGCGCTCGCGTGGCATCGCGTCAGACGCCCCCACTGCGCAGCAGGTCACCCCCGCATGTTCTGTTCCCCCAAAGGAATAAACACCCCACGCATGTTTCTCTCCAGAATACGCAAAAGCACCCCCCTCCCCCTGAGCCTGCGTTTTTACATCATTAAATCTGAGCCGGCTTGCGAACAAGGCAACCTAAGGACAGCGAGGGGAGGAGGCGATCGTGAACCTCGCGCTGCAATGGCTGGTGCTCCTCCCCCTCTGCAGATGCCAGAGTCTACACACGCTCTGGTTTGCAAATTGCAAGGGCTTCGTCCTGGACCAAACACATTCATAATTACGTGTACGTAGTTTATGAATGAGCAAAGAAAACCAGATAGCAATGTTGCATTATACAGGTTATTTTAGTGTTGTGCTGGTTTCTATCAAGAGTTACCTATCGTCGCTTTGCCTTGTCTTTCCACTGCCTCAGACAAAATTATTTATGATCTTTTAGCTTCATTTATCACTTCTTTTTTTTTCTCTGTTCCATCTCCTACGATAGACATTGTTACTCCACTTCTGTCCAAGGAAACCAATGTGATTATGTATATATATTATATATATATATGTAATCTAGATCTATGTTTCTGTAAAAATTAAAACAAGGTCCACCAGCTTTCAAAGAATATGAAAAATTATTTGTTAACGTTGAAGCACAGTCCTACCTTCTTTGTCCTTGGCTTTCAGGCATGCTAAAATATTATGCATCATGCATGCACACACAGTATGTTTATGTGAACAGACACACAACATGTATTTGTGTATGCAGGCATGCATACATGCCTGTGTTCTAGGTTATTAAGGTTAAGCTTGTAAACTTGTAAATCTCCTTTACTTTTATTTGTCCTTGTGTTTCACCTTGGCCTTGGTTTTCACATGGTTCAAAGAAGAGCCCATTGCTCAGCTACCAGCTGACTCGGTAATTGGTGTTGGATGAGTCTACCACATTATCCAGATTTCATGGCTCCCAATTTCTGTCACCCACGTAACACACAAACAAATGTTAGCAAACATTATTATATTTTATGTGACACTAGAATAAAGTGGCAAAAGAATGGGGAAAAAAAGAGCCACTGTGGGTGTATGCTAACTGGGTACAGCCAGCTGCTACAGGAATGGGGATTTCCCTGGATTGACTCTGTTGATGCAGAATAACTGAAATACAAACTCCAGAGGAGTATTGCAGTTAAGGGGAGCTGCCTTTTCCCAGCTAAGAGCCATGACAGAAGGATTTTAGGGAAACAAGGGTCAGGGTCATCTCTTCCAATCTAGTCCACTAGGCTCAGCACTCACTGGTCACCTTTGCCTTAGAGACAAAGTTAATTGAGGTGGCCTCTACTGCACTAGCAATAGCTTCTACTTTTGAAGTCTTTGAAGAAGAGAGCAAAGAAGCACAAATCCCATGCAAAATGCTTAATTTTGCAAAGTTCACATTGGCCTCAATATGGAGATATATGTCCTTCTACCCCTTGGTTGCAGTGTCTTTCCCTCTTTTGGGACTCTCCTGGAAATCTCTGTGGATAATCCCAGCAGCCTTCATGACCTCATGCCCAATTAAATCCTAGGAAAATTTGAATCTCTGTGGTCACACTAATATAGAGCCAGATACTGACACAAGATTACACCAAATTCCAAGAAATATACCATTTGAGTTGTCATGAGTTTGATTTGGGTAGCAATGGATTTATCATTCACAGTAGGATTTATGACACCACTGGGTTTTCAACCTTTAAATTCAAATTAGTGAAAAATAAGTACTAATTTGAGAAGAGGCTTTTAAGTGAACCAATGAATCTATACAAGCTGATCCATAACATCTGTCCAATAGATTGCCAAGGAAGAAAACCAATAAGATGTATCAGATAGATTTAAGAATCACTGAATTTTGGAGTTAGAAGGAAATTCGTAGGTCATCCAATCCAACCTGTATCTAAACAATGGTTCTCTATCCTCTGCTTAAAGACCTTCAGGAAGGGGGAAACCACTATCTCCCAAGACGGCTCATACCATTTTTGGAGAGCTCTAATGATGAGTATAACACTTTATTATAATAATTAGTTCATTTTGAGCCTATGGGCAATATAACACCTTCTAAGTTCCATATTGTTCCCTCCTCTGCAGCTTTAGGGAGTTTATTTTATTTTATTTTGTTGTTGTTCATCCTTTCTTTTCTTCTCTTATTTTTAATTTTGTATTTTATTTTTGCCCAATTACATGTAAAAACAATTTTAACATTTGTTTTTAAAACTTTGAGTTCCAAATTCTCTTCCTTCCTCCCTCACCACCCCCTCATTGAGAAGGAAAGCAATTCAATATAGGTTGTACATGTGTAGTCATGCAAAACATATTTCCACATAAGTCACATTGTGAATAAAACATAGACCCTCCCCCCCAAAAAAAACCTGAAGAAAAATAAAGTAAAAAAAGTATGCTTCAATCTGTATTCAGACACACATCAGTTCTTTCTTGGGGGATGGACAGGATTTTTCATCATAAGTCCTTCAGAGTTGTCTGGGGTCATTGTATTGCTGAGAATAGCTAAGTCATTCACAGCTGATCATCTTACAATATTGTTGTTACTTTGTACACAGTACATTTCACTTTGCATCAGTTCATATAAATCCTTCAAGGTTTTTCTGAGAGGAAGCTCATCACTTCCCATACCACAATAGTATTCCATTACAATCACGTATTACGGTTTCTTCAGCCATTCCCCAATTGATGGTCATCCCCTCACAATTTCCAGAAAAGAACTGCTATAAATATTTTTGTACATATAGGTCCTTTTCCTTTTTTGTTTTTTTTTTTTATCTCTTTTGGAATACAGACCTAGTTTTGGTATTGCTAAGTCAAAGGGTATGTATGGTTTTATAATTCTTTGGACATAGCTCCAAACCGCTCTATGAAATGGTTGAATCAGTTCACAACTCCAACAACAGTGAATTAATGTCTCATTTTCCCCACATCCCCTCCAGCATCTGTCATTCTTCTTCTCTGTTCCACTAGGCAATCTAATAAGTATGAGGTAACACCCCAGAATTGCTTCAATCTGCATTTCTCCAATCAGTGGTGAGTCAGGACATACCTTCATATGACTATAGATAGCTTTGATTACTTCATCTGAAAACTGTTCATATCTTTTGAAAATTTTTCAATTGGGGAATGGCTCTTATTTTTAAAAATCTGACTCAGTTCTCTATATATTTGAGAAATGAGGCCTTTATCAGAGAAACTTGCTTCAAAATTTTTTTCACAGTTACTAACTGTATTTCCCTCCAGTCTATTCCCCTTGTCCCCATTTATTCTATTCTCTTTTTCCTTTCACCCTGTCCCTCCTCAAAAGTGTTTTGCTTCTGACTACCACCTCCCCCAATCTGCCCTCCCTTCTATAATCCCATCCTCTTCTCTTATCCCTTTCTCCTCCTACTTTCCTGTAGGGTAAGATAGATTTCTATACCCAATTGAATATGTATGTTATTCCTTCTTTGAGCCAATTCTCATGAGAGTAAGGTTCACTCACTCCCTCTCACCTTCCCCCTCTTCCTCTACATCTTGAAAGCTTCATCTTGACTCTTTTATGTCAGATAATTTACCCCATTCTACCTCTCCCTTTCTTTTCTCCTAGTGCATTCCTTTCATCCCTTAATTTTATTTTTTTAGATATCATCCCTTCATAATCAGCTCACACCTGTGCTGTCTATATATACTATGTATACTGTCTATATATACTTCTAACTGCCCTAATAATGAAAAAGTTTGTGTGAGTTCCAAATATCATCTTCCCATGTAGGAATGTAAACAGTTTGACTTTATGAAGTCCCTTGTGATTTCCCTTTTTATGTTTCTCTTGAGTCTTGTATTTGAAAGACAGATTTTCTATTCAGCTCTGGTCTTTTCATCAAGAATGCTTGAAAGGGACTTCTGGAGCCAAGATGGTGGTGTAAGAAGTAAGTCAATCTCACCCTTCCTTATTGATCTCTGAAAGCCCAGAAAATATCATCCTAGGAAAAACTCTGGAACAGCTGAGCCAGCAAAAAGACAAAGTGCAGCAGTCTTGTAGCCCAGGAAGGGATTAACTGGAAAGGCCCCTTTCACTCTCAGGGAGGGGGAGCAGTACAGGATGGGAAGTGTCCCAGCAAGCCAGTGGCAAGCCCCACCTCAGCAAACCAGGGGGACATCCTGAGCCCCAAGGTGGTGGATTAGGCAGGCGCCAACACCAGGACCCCTCCCCCTGCCCTGGCCAAGTGCATCAGCACAGGCAGGGGAACCAGTAAACACCAGCCTGGAAAACCACCACATGCACTGGCATTCTCCAGCAGCCAAATCTCCTGGTGCTTCAGCACAACTCCAGGCTGGCAGACATCTCCAGCAGCCAAACATTCTAGTGCTTTAAAGAAGTCCAGGTTAGCAGGAGTCTGCCAGGGGCCAGACTCTCCACCCCTACTCTGAGAACCCCAGGGCTGCCGACCCTAGCTCAGATACCTACAGGCTCTAGCTGCTAGCACCTGAGGCCCCAGCACACAAAGTCAGTGACCAGGTCCCAGGCTCCCAGTACAGGAAGCTTGGGTCAGTGGCCCCTGCACTACAGCAGGAGAGCTCAACTTTAAAAGCCAGAAAATAGGTAAACACCATGAGCAGAAAGCAGAAACAGACAATGACCAT